ATTTTTAATTTATTTTTTTTTTAATAATGTTTATTAACGTCATACGGGGTACTCTAGTATTCCTTTTTGAGATTATTATCTGCCCATAATAATATTGTACTACACTAGTTTCGAATATTCATTTCTGGTAGGAAAACATATATGTAAATAATATATTATATCATATCATAAACTTCCTAATCTTTTTTTAAAAATTTTTTTTTTAATTTTCAACTCTTTGTTTTATGACCGAAAATTTTTACAATTCTTAATTGTATATCTATCCAATAACTAGACTCTAATTTGCCTTTCTTTATCAATTTTTGAGCTACTTACCGGCATTTCACATCGATCCAACATTGTGCTGAGCTATGTCTCTGTGAATGTGTGTGTGTGTAGTGTGTATTGTGTGTGTGTATGGATGTGGACTTTCCAATGTTAACCAAAATGGCACAGTGAGTGCTGTCGCCTCAGGGTGTTGCTTAGTGGTTGGTTATTCTTAGGGAACCGGCCACAAAGAGTTATTATTGATAACCAGCTGTTGGGCAATAGATCTGCGGGTCGCACAACATTTGTGTTGTTGTTGTTGTTATTGCTGTTGTTGTTGGTTAACTGCAAAGGAAACAAGTTGAGTTCGATAAGTAAAAATACCAAATAAACACATTAATTATATGCTAAAACTGAAACAGTAGCTCGCAGTTAAACCCTTGACTTTAACCCTTGACGGGCAACCAATCAAAGGAATAGCAACAAGAACAGAATATATAACTCGAATACGCGATGCGCATACAAAGTGCAAACCATAAATAAAATGCTCAAATGTTTCCCTCTTAAAAACCATAAAAATATCAAATTAAAGTAGAAAAGCTGGAGTACCCTTTATTTTTATTTTTTTAAAGTAATTTGAAAGTGATGAAAGCAATGTTAAGCTGAAGCTCAAATTTAATCCTAAAGATCTTTAGATGCATGAAGAAATTGAATTGAAATAAAAATGAAAAATTTTTGATAAAAAAAAAAAAAAATTTGTTATGAAAAAAAAGATAAGAAAAATTTTTATTTGTAATAAATATACATTATAGAAATATTTACATAAGTAATCGAAAACTCAATGCTGATAAACAACATTTAAATGAACTTCCTCAATTGTCCTGCCATAAGTCTTTTCCTCCTTATATACCCCATTTATCCTTTTCATAATGAGTATTACGTACAAAAAATATTCAACGACTTGTCAAAACATAACCATAACTAACTCAAAGCCTTCGCCCCCCTGCAGCAACTCGAATGTCAGTCAACGGCATTTAGCAGTTTTCATTGTCAAGGCGGTGTTTGTCGGCAAATCATCAAAAGGCCCCAAACTTTATTAATATTTTTTTTCTATTTTTTGGGTATATTTTGAGGGAGGCATTCGAAACAGGAACTCGCCTATGCACTTGTGGGCCACAACATAAGCGGGTGGCGCACAGTTGGCCTGCAACTTGGTAACCAAAAAGTCATGGCCAATTATTGGCTTTTTGTGTGTTGGCCCTTTATGTTTTTGTGTGTGCATTTCGTAGTGTTGGGGGCGTTTCAGCCACAAACAGTCAGTCATCGAGTCAGTCAAGCAGTTGACACTGTGTGTGTATGTGTTATGGCTGTGCATTCAGCGATATGCATAATAATCCTAACCCTTTACTAGGGGCCGCAGCAACCCCTCGAAATGTGGGCGCACAAGTTTGCTGCGCTTCACAAGTTTCTCTATGAATAGCAACATAATGAGTTAACAGTTAGGCGAGTACACTGAGCGCCTAAGTGGGGTTGCTCTTGAAATAGAAAATATTTGTGAAAATGCAAAAAGCTTAAAAAAATTTTAAGTTGCAGCTCAAAAAATATAAAAATTATAAGCAAACAAAATTTTAATAAATATGAGAAATTTTTAAATATGTATAAGAAATCGTAAAATAGTTTTAGAAATATAAAATTATCAAATAGAAAAANCTGAGGCTCTAGCCATTTGGCATACACACCTGTATAGTCTGGCGTCATATTACATTGTAAATCATTAACCGCTGCGTAACCGTTCACGCCGCTCGTATACATGTTCACATTGAAGGGCTCGTGGTAAAGGCTGTTCTTGCCAATGGAATCGTTGTCGTCGACGCTGGCCTGCAGAAAGAAAGAGAGAGAAACAGAGTTTTTAATATAGTGTCAAAGTTGGGGGTATCTATCTAGTTATATATGTACATATGTATGTAAATTATGTGCGCGCTAATGGCGTCTTTGAGCTCTTTAATGTGTTTAGTTCGCTGCGTGTTTAATCAATGTCTAATGTAGGTTCGAATGCATTAAAGCTAAACTTGCTATGATTTAACTTGAAGGAATTTTATTCTACTGAAAAGCAGAAAATCTTAGATACATTTTACTGTTAATTTTGTTTTAATTAAAAAAAAAAAAAAGGAAATAATTTTGTGAAAATAAATATATATTTAAACACATATATATATTTTTTCAAATATATGAAAATCAGTAAAATTGCAAATTTATAAATCTAAAAAAAAAAAAAACAACAAATTTTCCCCTCTTTTAATTTATTTGATTTCTTTTTATTTTCTATTATTGATTTTATTATTGTATTGTTTTGTATCATTTCGCATCGATATCATATTCATTCATCCTTCAATTAGCTTTTGTTTTTCCCAGTGTACTTAACTGTGTTTGTCACATTTCAAGGTGCCATTGCGAGAGCTCCCAGCAAGACTTGTCTACTTCCTATGCTTAACCTTTTCCTTCAGCTCTTGATATTTTTTGTGTGTTTTCTTTTGGGTTTGTTTCTGACATGGACTGGAAAATTTATTGGCTTTTGAAAAGTTTTCTGTCATAAAATCATAATTTACAGCATTCGTTTGCCACGCTGAGTTTTGGATCAACTTGACAGTTGTTATGGCATCGGTGGGAGTTGGGCTGGCTTGGCTTGACTTGACGTTTTTCTGCAATATATTTAAAAGCAAGCTGTCTCTTCTGGCCTGTCGGTCGATGAAGCTAACCATTAAATTTGGGTTTTTTGTTTTCTTTCTTTGGACTTTTTATTTTTCGGATAGCTCGTCATCTCGTCGTCTGGGAGCCTGTCATTAAATGCAGTTTTGTGAGCTGGTTTACTTCAGTGGCTTTTCGCAATTTCTTATATAGAAAGCGGAGTTGGGCAACATTAAAGAGCAAATGCCATAAGCCAGACAGCCAGACAGCCAGAGAGCCAGCTAGCCTGAGTCTCGGCTGAAGTTTCACATTGTCTGGCGTAATTTGATAAGCGAAAGTTTCTTGAACTCCGCACCGCACAGAGACACAGGCCAATTGCAAGGCTGTCAAATTATGACTAAAAATAGCTGTCAAAGCTATTTAGAAGGTGGGCCACATTCAAGCAGGCTAAAGAGCAGCAAAATACCAGTTACCAGTTACCAGTTACCAATTGCTTTAATTACAATTGAATAGCAAATTCTATATTTGGGCTAAAATACATTTGGCATTGCTTTGACGCCCACTGTCATTTGATTAATTTGACTGAGTATGCTCATTGATATCTGCAATTTCTATGGCTTGGCATTGAGATTCAAATGTCAGTTTCAATGCTAGTTTCACAGCTCTCAAGTCAACGAAGATGTGTCAGTTGCTTTGGGTTTTTTCTTTCTGGTTTCTGATTTGACCTTGTACAAATTGTGATTCAATTTCAATGCGCAAAAGTCAATATCAATTACACGCTTCCATTGCCAAAATTAGCTAATGCCGAAATTTGGGTCATTCTTGACTTTTGCTAATCCCCATTTAATTTTAGCTCTTGCATAATTTCTTAGCCAATTTCACGTTGGTCTTTTTGCCCAAGCGACCCAAAACATTAAAACTAAATATAAAACAATTAATTTAAAATTTCGACGTCAAGTGTCGCAGACCCTAAGTCAAAAAATAAAACAGAAATATATATACAAGATATAGTATATACAGACTGACACTAAATTGGTCACTCAGAGTAATTGAGTCTTTGGGCACCGACAAAAACACAAAAGAAGAAGAAGAAGAAACAAGTGAACAAAAAATAAGCGGGCAAAGCCAACTTTAATGGCAATAAAACTGTCAAGAAATTTATGTGCACAATTTGTCAATTTCCAGGCGAGTTGTATTTTGACAAGCGCGAGAAAATCATTTCAATCGACTCCCCGAAGAAGCCAAGAAATAATAATAAAATAATAATAATATTGTGCATCGCTTTTCAAGTGCATTTCGTTTGCTTAATAAATGTCAATTGCGTTACTTTCTGCTTCTTCTTCTTTGCTCAGTAAACGAAAAAAAAAAAGAAAAAGAAAAACGAGAAAACGTGACATTTTGTTGTTGACTTTTGACACTTGCAATCAGCCGAACGGAAGATTTATATACAATTTTACCGTTGACTCCGCAAATCGCATTTATGTAAATCAACTTTTTTCTCTCTATTTGAGCTGGTCTCACTGAGCCAAAGAGCAGCGCAAACCTTGCAGCAAATGTCAAATTTGTTGTAATCGGGGGAGTGTTGCCATTTAAATTGTTTGGCTACTTGACAATTTTTTACCAGGCAGATGTTTCTTTGCGGTTCTTAGCATCATGGCATATTCTCATTGGGCATGCCCCGCAGCATGTCAAAATGTGATGCCCTATCAAAAGACTGGGCCTATTGTTTCGATTTTTGACTTATTAAAATGTTTTCTTTTGATTCTCTGACGCCTCAAGTGCCACAAAATGCCAAAAGTTGTATCACAAGCAAAGAGATACAAATTGAAATTCAAATTATTCACTCGTTTCCCTTATTTGTTTTGTCTTTCTTCTTTCTCGGACATGTACACACTTGTAGATCGTAATGGGAAGCTTCGAAGCATCGCGTGTAAGGTTTATGGAAAAGGTCTTTGTAGCTATTGTTCCACTGCGATTCATTGATTTGTTTGGGATCAGCTCAAATATTCCAAGCATTTCTGACACATTGATGTTTCGGGGGTAAAAAAACACATCAGAGGCCTTTGATCTTGCCGTGGATGGAAGTGCTATAAATTTATAGCAGCCCAGTGTGTGTCATTCTCACTTCAGATGTATGCTTGGCATGGCATTTCAAATATATTATGGAATATTTGCGAGCTGCTACAAGCTGCCATAAATTTATAGCAAGCCTCAAAATTGTATTTTACAGACAGTTACATGCACTTCTGCCAGATTTATGTACTGCTATAAATTTATATCAAGTTAATATAATTTCAGCTGTAAGCCATTTCTAATCGTTCAACTCATTATGTCAATTTTATAGTTCAGTTCATCGTGCTCGTAATGCTTACGTAGCATGTTCAATTTTGTTAGAGCTGCACATAAACAAGCCCATTTATGGCTCGCTTTTCGTAGCCCATTACATGCTTTCTATGCCCACAATAATACGCCATAATTTGAACGCAACTGCATTTGTGCATGCAAGGCTCGAATTTCGGGCGAATCCACACAGAAATTCGGGCCACATAGCTCAATTTGGGCGCTGGTAGGCTCAATATATGCCATAACTGACCCACGACAAGGAGAAATGGCACTTAATCATACGGCACACCAGGTTAAAGCACAATCGAAGCCAACAA